TTTAAATTAATAACTCACTGTTAAAAACAGTAAAAGCTAATGCGCTCCACGAAACAGGGCCTTAATCTCCTACTACAGTCTACAGGACTGGTCTCATCACAATCAAGATCACGTCAACAGCTTCCATTGAAGACACTGCAAAAATGGTGTTCCCCATCTCCAATCGGCAGCTCTTCATCGGCGGCGAGTGGAGGGAGCCTGTACTCAACAAACGCATCCCTATCATTAACCCGGCCACCGAACAGATCATTGGTAAACTCAAATTTTGATGATTAGCCAGTAGTTTATGTTAGTGAGGCTGAGATGCGATCGTATTTGAGGATCGTTTTTCAGGTGATATTCCGGCAGCTACTGCTGAAGATGTGGAACTCGCAGTGGAAGCTGCTCGGAAAGCATTTTCTAGTAACAAAGGGAAAGACTGGCCATCCGCACCCGGCGCAGTCCGTGCCAAGTATCTTCGTGCCATCGCTGCTAAGGTAATAAATTTTGCAATTTCTGAATACTTGATTCGCGATGATTCAGCCTGATTTGGTGGATTTTGGAATTAACATTGTGCTTTCTGTGCTGCTGAAACTTAGTGATAGCAAGGTTCATAGATCAAGAAAGCTTTCTTTTCTTTTAGCGAAATTCTAGACATAATATCTTTCTAATTCAGTTTTTTGTACTGTTTTTGTCAATTGACATTCTAATTTTGACAAGGCTAGTTGACTGGATACGTTTTGTTATCTTGAGCCCTGTCCTTATGGCTTCTTTGAACGATCTAGATAACAGAAAGAAAAACTGAGCTTGCAAGACTTGAAGCGACTGATTGTGGTAAACCGCTTGAAGAAGCAGCATGGGACATGGTATGCCCGTTGCACTGTAGCACTGTTGAACTTGATGTAATTTAGTATCTTGAAGGTTTCCTCACCTGTTTATTTGTGTAATTCAGGATGATGTCGCTGGATGTTTTGAGTACTTTGCTGACCTTGCTGAAGGTTTAGATGCAAAGAAAAAGGCTCCTGTCTCGCTTCCTATGGAAACATTCAAGTGTTATGTAATGAAGGAGCCAATTGGGGTTGTCGCGTTAATTACTCCATGGTACTCTCTGTTTCTAGACCAGTTGAAGTGCTTATTTGGTATGATCACATAAATAGGAGACATACCCAAAAGATCTTATTACCTTAGTCTTACAAATATTAGTACATCTTGTGCTAATGAACCTTGCCAGATTGTTTTTTTCCCAGGTTTGGTTGAGATGTAACCAAGGCTAATTTCATTTCTTCCCTAACTTAATGTTTCTACTAAGACATGACAGTAAAACAAGAGACGTAGCTAATTTCATTTCTTCTCTGACTGTTTAACTATGCTTTCAGTTGAAACCACTAACAGCGGCAATTTCAACATCAAAATTAGTATTACATGCAGGTTGATTATCACAGTCTGACATTAATTTTCGTGCCAAACATATTGGTCCTAACTTGGTTTAGTTACTTTCCTTTTTTCAGTTTGTTGCAATTTGTGAATAAGTCGTGTTTCACTTTTTCCATTACTATTTATGGTTGGTACCTACTGTATTCTGTAGCAATAAAATAATTTCATGATGTCTCCATCCTCTCCTTGTTAAATTTACAACACCAGTTGCATTCATCTTTAATGTGTGACAATATGGATAAATTAAGTATTAGGTATCTTTTTACTATGTTTTTACTAAGTAATTTGTTCATTGCAAGTGGTTAAATTTTGGGGTTGGTGATTCTGGTTTTTATCCTTTGCAGATGCTACAGTGACTGTATGATGATTCTTGTAATAATTTCTTTGGTTGACTACTTTTGAGTACAATCTTGAAAATCAATAGACTAAGAACTTGTCTTATTTTACTTTGAAGGAATTACCCACTATTGATGGCTGCATGGAAAGTAGCTCCTGCTTTGGCTGCAGGTTGTACGGCAATATTGAAGCCTTCTGAATTGGCATCTGTGTATGTCCTCAATCTACCTGCACCGGTTTTCTTGTTTCCTTTCATTTTTAAAATTTTAGGAAGTTTGCCTAAGTTGGTTTATTTTTGAAACCACTATTAGCTTTTCATGTTCAATCTCTATTATTTCCTCCTTTACATCAGGACCTGCTTGGAGTTGGCTGAAGTGTGTAGAGAGGTTGGTCTTCCTCCTGGTGTTCTCAATATTTTAACTGGACTGGGCCCTGAAGCAGGTGCTCCTTTGGCATCTCATCCTCATGTTGACAAGGTGAAGTTGTTTCTAATCATTTACTTAATTGGAATTTTCTAGGAAGTTGAGTCATTAAATTTCATGAAAATTAGCTATCAAATCATGAGGTTCTAGGTATTAAAATATCAACCATGCCAATTGCTAATGGTTAGTCCATGTCAGATTGCATTTACTGGAAGCACAGTAACAGGTAGCAAGATAATGACTGCAGCAGCCCAGATGGTCAAGGTTAGTCAAAGTTCTAACATCTGACCACTTATCATTTCTTGTTCCTAACTTCTATATGCAAAGTTTTTTATGTGGTGTTCTATTTTGGTAGCCTGTCTCTCTAGAGCTTGGTGGAAAAAGTCCGATAGTTGTGTTTGAGGATGTTGACCTAGACAAGGGTTAGTACCACTTGAATCAAAATTTCAAGCACGTTTATATTTTTCAGAAGACTGGACTTGTTTTGCAAGAAACAAATTGTTTCTACTATTTTAATGCTTTTAAAAACTAGCACTTTAGGAAAATGATTAGATTTTTGTGCAGTTGTAATTTGATTTCTGTGTGTGTTTGTGATAGCTGCTGAATGGACTGCATTTGGTTGCTTCTGGACAAATGGTCAGATCTGCAGTGCAACATCCCGTCTTATTGTACATGTAGGTGCAATAGACATGTTTTGCCTCGATATATATTTGATGCTTTCTTTTGTACCATACTTACTCTGGCATGAGGAAGGTGGATATTAGTCATAATTGGAAGTCATGAGATTATGATACATGCAAGCAGGTTGCTACATATTTAAGTTAGTTTCAGTTGGACCTCAAACATAGGTGGGAACAGACCCGATTCGTACATAAAGCTGGTATGAGTAACCACTTGCTAGGGTAATTACATCAACTAAATGATACTGGAAAGCATTTTGGCAGGTTTGTTCCTGGTCCCAGCAAATTAACCCCTAGAAAATATCCTGATAAAAAAGGTCAAAAGGTCTGCTGCAAACTCACCACTCAAGCTGAATAAACTGTTTGTGGATCACACCTAACAAAATGAAAAGCAAACCCCTATGACCCAGAAGGCCTTCCATCCTCCTTAACTAGTAGCTTTAGTGACCAAGAACCATGCCCAGGCCAACACTATCATTGTACTTTTTGTTTGAGCCTATGAAAACCTTCACATCAATGGTAATTGCTTACGTGCTTACACTTGATTTAATGTAAACATACCATTTATCCTTCCTGTAAAGGGCTGTACAGATATCCTTATTTTATGTTGATAATAGATAGAAGAAGCTTAACTATTGAGGTTTCCAACTAAATACTATTATAGATTCCTGTGAAAAGGATATAATGCTTCTAATAGAAATATTTTATAGTTTGTAGTGCTGAATGCTCTCTCCAATACTTAGTGTTTTTCTTCATGTTGCTATCTAACCTTAACATACTCATAAAGAGGCACATATTCCACATATTTCCCAGGAAAGCATTGCAGCAGAGTTTCTGGACAGGCTTGTGAAATGGACTAAAAACTTTAAAATTTCTGATCCCTTGGAAGAAGGCTGCCGGCTAGGCCCTATTGTCAGTGGAGGGCAGGTAAATGTATCGTTTATAACTACTATGCACATTTCCCATTGTTTCTGCTTCCTTTTCCTTTGTCTGGGTGCTAAGGGGACTGTAGAAGATGTTAATAATATATCCTCGGTTCATCACTCCTTTTCCTTTTCACCCATCAATACTTTCGAAATACTAGGAGTGGGTAAAGAAACATGAAACTATTTGCAGATAGTGAATCTATAGTTTATCTCAACTTGTATTGAAGGTATTAAAATCACATTAAACTAAATGTAGGAATTCTTGTTTGAACTTCACCAGTTCTACCCTCTTAAGTAGCTCATCATTCATTTCATTTGACATGCAATGTTTCCATGTGGATCTATCCCATCCTAGGTTATGCTCCAGCGTTAATTGTAAAATATTTTCTAATAGGGATTGGCCAGGGTAAGATATATTAATGTATCTACTTTGAATCTTTTTCGATCGTTTACCTGATGTTCCAAAATTAAATCCTTAATTCAGCAACCGTTTAACTTTGAGAATGTATTACTGTGTAATGTTACCATGGGTTTGAACTTTTAAGTGCAAGATCTTGTTCTTACTGATATTTAATTCATCCATGGCAGTATGGGAAAGTACTGAAGTTCATCTCAACAGCTAAGAGTGAGGGTGCAACCATTTTGTGTGGTGGGGTTCGTCCTCAGGTACAATTTTCTTCTTCTAATTGCTTGCATCCTTGTCATTTAGAATCTGTTGCCTTCTCTTAATTATTTCACAATGTCTGTGACAGCATTTAAACAAGGGATTCTTCATTGAACCAGCTATTATCACTGATGTAACAAACTCCATGGAAATCTGGAGGGAAGAAGTTTTTGGGCCTGTTATTTGTGTCAAAACATTTAGCACTGAAGATGAAGCCATTGAATTGGCAAATGACACTCAGTAAGTTTTTTGATATATCCAGAGGTTGTATTTCATCCTTTGGATGTAATAATTAAATGTGATTTGGTAATTTCTCTGGATTTCCTCATTTTTTGCATCACCCCTCTGTTATTTTGATGTGAAGAATTTATTTGGGCAATTATTACTGTGTCCCAGCTATGGTTTGGGTGCTGCTGTGATATCAAATGATCTAGAGAGATGTGACCGTGTAAGCAAGGTAAGACTTGTCTCTACTGGATGTTAGAAGAAGCCAGCAATAGTGCAGCAGTTGGTAATCTCTTTCGTATCTTTCAGGCATTCCAGTCAGGTATTGTGTGGATCAATTGTTCACAGCCTTGCTTCTGTCAAGCTCCTTGGGGAGGCAACAAGCGCAGTGGCTTTGGGCGTGAATTAGGAGAATGGTATTGCTCGTGTTACCTTGTTTGTTAAATTAAAAATACCATTTATTTGATGAACTCTCTGCATGGATGCTTCTTTAAGCCAGAGATGCCTTTTAATTTACTTTCGTTTTTACTTGGTTATGAGCAGTATCAGAATGGATACTGAAGGCAGATTGTTCTCTAAATTTTTGTCACAGGGGACTTGACAATTACTTGAGCGTGAAGCAGGTCACCCAGTATATCTCTAATGAACCATGGGGGTGGTACAAGTGCCCATGAAATAAGGTGTTGTGGGCTGCTTTACAGTGAACTCAACATCATTCATCCAAGAGGTGGAGCGATTATTGGTCATGTACCAATTGATCCAACCATCGTTGTAGTCATTATGAGGCATTGTAGAAGCCTTGGAAGCTGAATAATGGAACTCTGTATCTGTAACTCTTCTTGTAGAACTGGTTGTGGTGTATTTTTAATTCCAATCTCTCCTTGCATAATCACTTTGTATATTAATAATTCATATATTGATCAACAAGCAGAATGCACATTTCAGTTGTGATTTCATCGAAACGGATTACACATGCTAAAATTACAGATTTACAGAAGAATTTGCTCATTATGAGCTCATAAATTTAATATTAATCAGGGTTGAAAGCAAATTTCATATAGTTATAGGATTTTACAAAAATATTTGTCTTTTCAGTTTGATTGTAAAACTCATAGTTTACGTTGTTAATTAGCGAGGGTTGATATACTCTCACAATGTGGATTACATGTAGTTTAGATTGAAAAATGACGTCTATAAAAACAAAAGATTAAGAGGAATTAAAACATCATAAAAATTAAAATAACAAGAATAATAATAAAAATAAAAACATTTTTAATATATTAATATATAATAAAATTTATTAAAAATATTTAAATAATTTCTTCAAATAGTTTGATTTGTTGTAATAAAACAAAAAATAGAAATATGAATTTGTTTTTTTTTTTTTGATTATACAATGAGAAGTAATTATTTTTTATTTTTTATTTTATTTTATTTACATACTATATGACTTAAATTTAAAATTTTTTATTTTTAATAAAAAAAATAATTACTAAATTATTTAAATAATAAAATAAAACATGAATTTTAAAGTAACGAAATCATGGTAAGGAGAGAAGAATTTCGAAGTAACAAAATCTTGGGAAGGGTAGAACGGTAATTTTGTCCTATGGCGGTGCGCCGCACAAACTAACGGACAAAGCACGAAGATTCAAGACCGAGATTCGTTACCAAAATTCAAATTCCCGCTCTAACGAATCTCGGATTTGCTTTTCGAAACATGATCCCTCCAAACACTCCCTCTCTTTCAAAATCCCCTCACCCCGCCAAAACTCAACCTAGATCTCCCCCTCTTTAACGGCCCTTCCCTTCCCCTCTCCCTCCCTCCGCACCTACCTCCATCTCTCAACTGTTCGATTCCTCCCTCCCTCCCTCCCTCCCTCCTCTCCCTGCCGCAACGAAGATGGCCGCGTCTCCTTCTGCAAATCCCGAATCTTCATCTCGACACCATACCTACAGCCGGAAACAAAAATCTCTCGGCCTCCTCTGCTCCAAGTAGACTCATCACTCTTTCTTTCACTTTTTTTGTTTTTCCAGTTCTTAAATTTCAAGATTTCCTTATTCTCGCTCTCCTTCTTGCAGTTTCCTGAGCTTGTACAACCGAGAGGATGTTGATTTGATCGGACTCGACGATGCCGCATCAAGATTAGGTCTGGATTTGAAGTTAATGTTCTATGGATCTATTTGTATGCGCGTTTATGGTTATGAGTTTGAAGGATTTGATTTTGTTGTGCCTTGCAGGCGTTGAGAGACGCCGGATCTACGACATTGTTAATGTCTTGGAAAGTGTTGGGGTAATTTTCTTATTTTCCCTCTGAATTTTATCTTTTTCTCGTGGCGAATGTCATCCTGTGTGAATGATTTTGTCTTATTTTTGTTTCTTGATGTGATTCTCAGGTTCTTACTCGGAGGGCGAAGAACAAGTATACATGGAAAGGGTTTGGAGCAATCCCTAGGGCTCTAGAAGAGCTGAAAGTACGTTTAAATTCTTTAATTCTCTTAATTTCTTTTTCGCTTTGTGTGACATTTTACTGATTTCTGGTTTATTTGCGTGTTAGGAGGATGGTTTTAGCAATAGTTTCTACTACTTCGAGAGCGGCAGTCATACAAAGGTATGTTCAAATTAGGGTTTTAATTTAAATATATTCTTTGTAAAATCATTCAATTTTCATTCCTAGTTTTAGATGATTTACATCAAGATGTGAACTCTCTTTTGCTATTCCAGGTTTCGGATGATGATGGTGATGAAGACGATGAAAGCTTCTGCAATCCAAGCTTCTCCAATCCCAACACTGGAAGCCATTCAGGCTACTTAAAACCTAGTTCTGCACTTAAATCTTCAGCATCATCCAAGATTGGTATGGATTTTTGAGGTCGTTGTGTAAATTTCATGTTCATCTGTGATGCTTGTTCATATTCATTCAAATATTTTAGATTTTGAAAAGAGTTGGGAGTTTAACCATAAGAAATTTCTTATGTCTTGACTTCTGTTATTGGGTAATTTTTCTTCGTAAATAGGTTAATACATGACATGGAAATCCACGCCATTATTACTATAATTCAAAAAGTTAGATGTGAATTATGTCTTATTGCCTGGCTCTGATGTTAGCAGATAATCGAAGAGAAAAATCGCTGGCATTGCTTACACAGAATTTTGTGAAGCTCTTTCTCTGCTCTGATGTGAGTAATAGACTGGCTTTTCATTTTTAATGACTTGCCATTGGTTGTCTTATGGCCAATCATTTGATGTTTCCAAGTATTTTGGTTTTGATCTTTTCAGGTGAAGTTGATCTCCCTTGATGAAGCAGCCAAGTTATTACTGGGGAATGCTGAAAATATGTCCGTAATGAGAAGTAATAAATCCTAACCTTGCTGGCTTTGTTCTAAATAATGAAAACGCTCGTTGACTAACATTCTATTCATGTGATAATTTTGCAGCAAAAGTGAGGCGGCTATATGACATAGCAAATGTATTATCTTCGATGAATCTTATCGAGAAGGTACCACGTTTTTGAGAATGTTTAGAAGGATATTAACTTTCTTTAACTTTGACTTCAGACAGTAAAGTCAGACTCAAACTTTCTGATGAATATTGTGCAGACCCATACATTAGATACTAGGAAGCCTGCATTTAGGTGGTTAGGGCCAGCAGGGAAATTGGAGAGCACATCTGCTGATGTTTTGGTTGCTGGCGAGTCTAGGAAAAGGACATTTGGAGCTGATCTTTCAAACATCAATTTCAAGAGGAATAGAGTCAATTCTTCAATTGATGAGGATATCAATCAGAGTATTAAGATGAAAAAGCAAGTGAAAGTTGAGAATTTGGTGACCGTGGCTTATAACAGCAGTATTGAGAAGGATTCAAGACATGGTTTGAAGAGCTACCAGTACGGTCCTTTTGGTCCTCAAAGTATGACTAAGATTGATGCCTCTGATAATAATATGAAAAGGGAACACGATTGGGAGAGTCTTGCTTCAACTCACCGCCCTCAATATCACAATCAAGGTATGGTTTAATTCTTCATTACATAGAGTGAGTGAATTGGTTCAATTTTATAAATGAACTGTGACAGTGTGACTGCATGTCAAAGTCGTTTCAGTTACAGTATGTGGCTAAAGTTAGCATGAATGGTAATAACTCCACTTGATTGTCCTATGCCTTAAGCTATTCATATAAATGAGCTAATTTGATGATGTAATATTTGTTGTTTCAAATTATACCATGAAACCAGAAAAGGGAAAGGTTCTCTATAATGCTGCCTTTGAGATCAACTTGATTTCTGAAGTATGGCAATAAACCTCGCTAATCAGAATCCCTTTACTTAGGACTGCACAGGACTGAGAAGATGAAATTCTAAAGTATGTTGGAGCATCTTCTATTATGCTACTTGATTCACTAATCCAGATTGTTTACGATGTTGTCCTTTGGTTTGTCCGCTTTAGAGATAGCGTGATTCCTGGCATTCTTTTGGTTTTGTCCAATATTATTCCTAAATTGCATGGTCAAGGTTCTGCATCTTTAGCTAATTGTGCCCTATAATTTTAGGTAATTTTTGTATCTTCTTAGACATATTTTTGCTGAATGCTGATCATCTGTGTTTTCATTTTTGGCACAGGCATAGGTGACTTACAGACTTAGATTACTTGTGCATGTAGTACTTTTATTTTTTCCTGGTTTGGAGCTAAACGTTCTAACAGAAATCTGATTTTGCCGTACTATTGCAGCTTTAAGAGACCTCTTTTCTCATTACATGGAAGCATGGAAGTCGTGGTACTCTGAAGTTGTGGGAAAGCAGCCAATACCCCTATTTTCCTAATGCACCTCCAAGTTGCTTTTAAAATTGGACTCAGAATAACTCAGTACAGCATCAAGATACCATTTTTACTAATTTGTTTTTCTTACCTGCCATACCTCTTCCTTTCAAGTGACATGGAACAGATGTCTTCTCGGATGCATTCTCTATGCACCAAGCCTTGAACTTATCATTGAAATCCATTTGTTGTTTGATTTGTTAATGGTTCTGCCCTCTGTACAATACATTCGCTAATCTAATTTGCTAATGCATTGTGTCCTTCATGTTATGCGTAGCTTTCTGATATGTCATTTTATGATTGATTTGGATACTATGTCATCAAAGGTATTCTCTTTTCTTTTTCGGTGCATTAGATGATGGGTTGTGTAACAAGGATAGTCTTTTTCTTTTCTAAACTTTTTCTCACCCATTCTAAGATTCAAAGGTATTCTTTTAATACAACAGAATTTCTCCTTTAGAAAAGGCGTTCAACCTCATCTTTCTTGGATGGGACATGCACTTCACTAGTTGGAGGGTATTACAAGCTCAAAGTGTATGAAAATTGATATGTGGAAATTGATCTATGGATATATATATGTATATACATATATATATATATATTTTGAAAATAGGCAATGGATCTATGGATATTGAATACTTGAAATTTGTTATAAATTGTGATGGAGCGAAGGGCATACAAAAGGGGGATTCTAAGGGTTTGTTTGGTTAGAGAGTCAATTTTATTGGAAAAGTAGTTAAAGTATTATAAAAATTA